TTGAGCAAATGTCCTTGACTCTACCTAGCAGTGTATCAAAGCAGATACTAAGACTCAAAACCAAACCTTCAGCAGAGTGCAGGGAATCATATGAAAGAAGGGGGAGTTAGTATGATGTGGAAAGGATAGGAGCGCCACAAGGACCAAATATATCTGGGCACAGGGTCTTTTCTGAGACTGACACTCCACCAAGGACCATGTATGGATATAACCTAGAACCTCTGCTCGGATGAAGTACATGGTAGCTCAGTAACCAATTGGTTTCCCATAGTTAGCGGAACAGGGACTATCTCTGACAGGAACTCAAGGGCAGGCTCTTTGACCTCCCCACCCCCCAAGGGAGGGGGCAGTCCTGTTAGGCCAGAGGAGAGCTTTGCAACCAGTCCTGAAGATACCTGATAAAACAGGGTCAGACGAAAGGGGAGGAGGACCTCCCCAGTCAGCGGACTTGGAATGGGGCAGGGAGGAGATGAGGAAGGGAGGGTGGGATTGGGAGGGAATGAGGGAGTGGGATACAGAGTTAATGTAACTAATAATAAAAATTTTAAAAATTAAAAAAAAAAGAAAGACACCAGCAGTCTCGGGGACCCGCAGTATCAGGTTCTGGCTATAAACAATTAGCAACAGACACAGGCAGAGAGCTAAGGAGACAAACACCACCTGGAGGACAGACACTGCTCACGGGTGCAAGCGTGGCTGCGCTGCCAACTTGAAAGAGGGAAGGGAGGTGCCCAAGTCTGTGGAGGGTTGGGGCACAGGGAGGAAAGTTCTGCTGAGAAAGAAGCGCTCCAAGACTAGCTAGGATTCCAAAGGACATTCTGCACCCAACATCTCAGCTGGCGGGCGGCTTGTTAACCTGAGCTGGACTGATGGTAACTGAGACCGGTTCCTTCCACTCACCTGCATTACCAGATGATAAACCACCTTGGTGTCATAAGCCCAGGCTCCCCCAATAAACTTCCTGAGCCACAGGCTTTATCCTGCTTGCCTCCTTCCCTGCGTATACAGCATCCAAAGGAATGGGAGTGGGCACTTCTCCTCCTGCTTAGATGCCATCACCTCCACCCCACCTGAGCTTACGCAGGAACGAGAATTACCACTGCATGGCTGTTCCTTCTCCCACACCTCTGCCCCAAGCCAAGTCCTCCTCCAGGCTCTCCCTAATCAGACCCTGCAATTCAGCCTCTCCTCTCCAAGCCCACACCTCTGTTCTACCTCGGTGCTCGCCCTAACCCACCTGAACTGCTGAACTGCTGAACAGCCTCCTGCCACCCCTCCAGCCTCCAATCCCACAATCTCATCTTCCTGAGGCTGAGGAGACAAGACAGAAGACGTGAGAAGGAAAGAAGCCTTCACTTCAGATGTGGTCGAAGCCTGAACCAAGAACTCTGCACAATTAGCATTTCCTTCAGGCCTTTCTCCTTCCACAGTCGTCTCCTTGGCATTGTCTAGAAATCTCACCAGTAACTATTTATAATAAAAAGATGTGTGAGCCGGGCAGTGATGGCGCATGCCTTTGGTCCCAGCACTCAGGAGGCAGAGGCAGGTGTTCCAGGACAGCCAGGGCTACACAGAGAAGCCCTGCCTCAAAAATTAATTAATTAGTTAGTTAGCTAATTGTTTAAATTTAATTTAAAAATAAAAAGAGGTGTTGCCAGGCATAGTGGCACAAGCCTTTAATTCCAGGATTTAGAAAGGCAAGACAGGTGGATTTCTGTGAGTTGGAAACCAGCAAGTTCCAAGCAGCCAAGGCTACACCATGAGACCTTGTCTCATTAAAGAAAGGCAAGGGAAAAGAAGGAAGAAAAGGGGATGGGAGAGGCGGGGAGAAGAGGGAAGGGAAAAGACACCTGTCAACCCCTGTGTGACTCTAGTAGCTCCTGGCTTTACCTTATCAGGTTACAACTCCATCCAAGGCATCTCCAGAGATGTCATTTATAAAGCCAGGAGGGGATTCTTTGCACCTCTTAAGGAGTAGCTTGAGCAGCTGTTTCTCTTCATCCCCACACTTAAATCGATGCTAAAGATCTCTTAATAAATTGCTGCAACCCCTCCCAAGTCGAGTTCTGATTAGCCCCAATACACCTCTTTGTTAATCCTAAACTAGAGTGGCCAGCACTCCCTGTTTCTTGTACTGAGTGCACCCCAGTCTTACTACGCCTGCTCTGAAGTCTACATTATGGAATCCTTCTACTTGAATCCCATCCTGACCCAAAGGCGAACTGCTTCCTTGGGTAACTAACCATCATTTACTAAGGTATGTATTCTTGTAGGACCTCCTTCAAGTGTGTATTTCCAGCATCATTCAAGGCCAGCCTGGGCTACAGAGTGAGTTCCAGGACAGCCTACACAGAGAAACTCTGTCTCAACACTAGATGGTTTACATGTCCAAAGCCCTAACTCTTCAGGACCAGAAAACTGAATAAGCCCTCAGGGCTGAGTGACTTGTTAGTCAAGGTCCACAGGTCAAGAACAAGGGCCCTTCTGACTTGGCACCTAAGATAATCACATTTGCCTTTTGAATGATTGAATGACCAGAGGCAAGTCAACCCCAAACATATACACATAGGTAAGGCAAGGAGATTAGTGCTTTCTGGGCCACACTGCTATGTCCCTTTTTACTTCCCAAAAGCATCAATAATGGCCAGGAAGAGAGTAAAGTGTTCTTAGGGGAACGGAACCTTGAATAAACTGCATCCCAGCTACACACCTGGGGAAATTAACAGGAACAGCCTTCTACACTCAGAGTGGAGTTCTTTTTGTGCTTGCTTTTGGGTTATTGTTTTATTTTGTTTTTTGTTTGTTTGTTTTTTGAGGCAAGGTTTCTCTGTATAGGCCTGGCTGTCCTGGCTGGAACTGTAGACCAGGCTGGCCTCAAAGATCCACCTGCCTCTACCTTCCAGGTGCTGGGATCAAAGAGGCGTGTGCCACCACCGACCAGCACGGTGGAGTTCACTAGTCCACTTACAATTAGAGACCGTTTACAAGTACCTCAAGAATACTACCTACCACACCCTAATGCATAACTGTTTACCTGCCCTAAATTGTTCATAAATTGTTCTTTCACACATGACTTATCCCTACACCCCACTTTGAGAGACCTAGACAATCAAAACTGTATCTTCCCTTTCTAAGGTACCAAATGTAGGCACAGAGTCCTTGAGCACCCGGTAAAGGGAGGATGAAGTTATGACAACACACCTGTACACCAGGAGGGATAAGAGCACATTTGGGATGTTTCCTTGTCCATTGCCTAAGACTAATACCTAGCATGAAATAGAAGCTTAGTAGTCAATCAACAATAAGGCAAAAACTGAGGCCTGCTCAAGCCTCATCTTTTCTACAGCCACACATTCACTCAACAAACATGTATCAAGTTGTTGTGCCAGACTGTCCGTTGCTCTGACACCTAAGTTCCACATGAGCTGAAACCCTCCTCACCAGCTATCTTCTCTTGAGTTTGCCTTATTAGCAGCTGACACTTGTCTCAATATGCCAAGACAACCCTAGCTGACACCTACCATTATGTCATTATGGCATTATGCATTGCTCCAACAATGAAAGGATCAGAAATATCACTCCACAGTGATGAGCTGCTAAGTCTTGTTTTTTTGTTTGTTTTTTGTTTTCTTTATTAGGGAAGGAAAAAAAAAAAAAAAACAATCCACACTAGTGGATGAGGATGTCTGGGTCTCTCTATGTCTGGGTTGGCCTGGAACTCACCAGGTAGTCCTGGGTAGCCTTGAATTTGTGATTTTTCCTGTCTTAGCCATCTGAGTGCTGAGATTACAGACCTTTATCACCAGGCTCAAGATTGTTCCTTCGTTTTTCAATAAAAATCAATTAAATGGTTAGGGACAGGGAAGCAGCTGAAGACAAGCCTGGGATAAGCAACTGAGACCATACTGTAGACAGTCTACCATACCAAGGGTATGGATATTTAACGGATACACAAGACGGAGCCACACAAACTTTTAAGGAAGTCATGGATGGTCAAAGTACTGTAAAGATGTTGTTAACTGGATTACAGAAAATATCTAGGGCTGTAAAATTTAAAAGGGCAGGGAACAGGTCATACCAAAAAGACAGCCTAAAGCTATAAATAAAAGTCGTCAAAGAAGAAAATAGTGACAAATATGCTACCCCATGGTTTGACTTGTGTGTAGTGAGAAAGTCCCGCAACATATCTGTGCGCTAGGCAAGCGCTAGTTCCCTGGTGTGTGGTCTTGGGCCCTCACTGCAAGGCGGGTCGTAAGGAAGCTTTAGCTCGCCTTCTTAACTCTCAGTACCTTAAAGATCTGTCCTTCGGTTTGTGGTCGGTTCTTAAGGCCAACATTTAAAGCACGGTATTTATTGGTTGCCAGGATCTTCTAGCAGTAAACAGAGAATCCTAACTCGCCTCCTCCAGATCATCCATCTATTGCATCATGTGAAACCAAAGCTTTCTCAGGCCACGACTTGTAAAATTCAAGTCAGGTAAAATGGCAGCAGCCGCGGCAGGAGCCTGACCCTCAACTTGAGAGCACTGAGCGCGCTCCCCGCAGCAGCGCAGCGCCTAAGGAAGCGCTCGAATCAACAGGTCGGGCGCCCCCGCCCGGGAGCGTCCAGACCCCGACGCCGCGCCGGCTCGGCGGGTCCCTTCGGTAGCCCAGCCAGACGAGGCCGCCGGCTTCTGGATCAGGAGAGAGGTCTACCGGCCGCCGGGCTGAGGCTCCGGCCCTGGGCCCGGGGTGACTAGGCAGCCCTGCCCCGCCCGGCCGGCGGACACCCCGCGGAACTTCCACAGAAGACCACAGTCGGGTCCAGGACGGTTCCGCAAACGCCCCGAGGGTCCAGGGAGGCTCGGGTCGGCTCCAGGCTTCGCTGCCCGGCCCCGCGGGATGCTCCTCGGGGTGAAGGGCAGCCCTGCCCACCCTGCGGGACAGCCGGGACCCGAGGGGCTCCGCATCCCTCCCACGCCCGCCGGCGCCGGGACCAGCCCGCTCTGCCTGTCCTCGCACCTCGTCCGCGTCCAGTTCTACTCGACTGTCCACGAGCGCCATGATCCCCTCCGCGACGGCCGCACACCCGCAGGGAACTCAGAACCGACTCTTGCCTCCGCTCTGGGTTCAGCCGAGCGCGGACGGAGGAGGAACCGGGCGGCCCCGCGCGACTGGACCGAGCGGTCCCCGCCCCCGGCGCCGCGGCACCCGCTGCGCACCCAGTCCCCGAGCGGATGCCGGGCTGCTGCCCCGCCTCCCCCGCCCGCCAGCCCCGCCCCCCCGCCCGCCAGCCCCGCCCCCGCACGCGGCCCCTCAGACAGCAGCCAATCGGGTTCGGCGGGGCGGAGTCACCTCTCTGAGGCAGCGGGAGCTCGCGGAGAGGACCTCCGGGGTACCCGCCTCCCTGGAGGGCTGGCAGGAGCCTGGCGCCCACACCGGAGCGGCCCGAGCTGACAGCCCAGGGTCGTGGCTGCGCTCCCTGCGTGGCTAGTGGACCACCTGGCCCTTGGTCTGCAACCCGTGCGCCTACTTCGCCCAGACGGCAGAGCGTCCGGCAGATGCGGCTAGAGGACAGCCAGGGGTCACTGGTCACCTAGAGGCATCTGACACATCACATGCCCAAGTGGCTCTGTCAGGAGCATCCTCTTCAAGAGACAAGAACTCTTTTTGCCTCTGTTGGCAAAGCAACGGCTTCAGCGTAGCTCAGAGCCCTGAACATCTCCCAAGGTGGTCCAGGTTATTCTTGCTGCGACGGCGTCTCGCCCTCAGCCCTTTTGTAAATCCTAATAGATATAATTCGTGCTTGAATTATCCATGAGGATTGGGGTGTTGTCTCCTTCAAGGCTGTATCCCCAGGACCTAGAACGATGCCTCGCGTGCCTTTTCCAGTATCTGTTGACTGTATTTAGAAATTGATTCCTGCTTCCGACTTGCAAAATAACTGAGTAATCCAACTGGAAAAGTTAAAACTACATACTTTAGGGTTGAGGGGCAGTTTTATTTTAAATTCCCCTAAGGGCATAATTGATGAGTGTTACAAAACACCCCACCCATGTAGACCACCCCCAAATTTTTCTGTCCCTGTTCTGCGGTGTTCAGCAGACACCAAACTTCTATCACCCTTCCCCCCCCTTGCTGTATCGCTCATTTGCATAGTCAATATCTGATTTATGAAATGCTGCTTGTCAGTCGGTAAACATAAAGAGAGCAAGCTAATTTTTAACTAACCATGTGCTAGGAGTGGGCTGGGACCCTTGGATATTCTGTCTCACTCTAAGAGGGGCACTGATGAGTAGACTGAAGCACAGAGGTTAAATCACTTTTCTGAAGTCAGGCAGCTAAGCAAAACAGCGACGCCTGAATCAGAAAGGCAGCAGTCTGGCGGCGGCAGCTGGCTGATAGCCTGCCTCTGTGCCTAGAGCCAAGCCTCCCTCTCCCTGTGGGTTTCAGCAGACTAGCTGGGAGAAGGCCTATTAACACACATTTCCCGTGATTCACCATGGCATCCTTGATACCAGCTTAATGATGTTATTGTCTCCAAGTACCTTTGACACAGCAGCATGAAGGCCTGTTAAGGGAAAACTCCTTCAAAAGAATACAATCTCTAGCCTGGTTGGAGAACTGAGAGTTCTGTGAGGCATGTCAACCCATCTGGCTAAGACACCACCCCTTCAAAGGCCGGCTCACCTGAAGCCATGTTAAAGAAGTAAGTGGAATGCTTCTTTCTTTAATGAGACAATTCAATGCGTATGCCCACTTTTCTGAATTATTCAGGAAAGCAAAATTTTCCTTTTATTCTCTTTCCTAAGTCTAAGTTCTCCAAACGTAGCCCCTCCCCATCATGTATCTCACCTCCAGGATGGCTTAAAAGTTTCTTGGGTTTTTTTCTTTATCTTCTCCATTTTCTTCCTCTGGGCAGCTGCTCAGATTTACAGTTCCCCTGTCCTGGAAATCTTGACTTTTTCATATGAAGTCTCATAAAATTGTCCTCTAACTTCCATTTGAGTCCATTTTTAAATTATTTTATTGATGAAACAAACAAACAAACAAACAAAAACCCAAGAGGAGTTTCTCAGTATCGGTTAGATACCATGAAGGGGCTCCTCAAAATTCTAGTAACACCTATATACTAAAAATGTAAAACAATTTTGTAACCAGACCACTGGCAGGGATAATGACAGTCTTACACACACACACACACACACACACACACACACACACACACGTGTCCCTCTAATTGTTTCTCAGACTATCAAAGCAATGGATCTAAAGAAATCAGAACTCCCCTCAGGAATCTATCTCATCCTGGAAGGAGAGAAATCCTAACACAGCGGTTCTCAACCTGTATTAGAACAACCCTTCCATAGGCGTCCCCTAAGACCAACAGAAAACACAGATGTTTACATTATGATTCATAACAGTAGCAAAATTACAGTTGTTGTGAAGTAAATAAATAAAAATTAAACAAAAATAATTTTATAACTGGGGGTCACCACAACATGAGAAACTGTATTAAAGGGTCGAAGCTTTTAGGAAGGTTGAGAACCACTGGCCAGTGGGAAACTTCTCAGAAAGAGATTTACCACTCTGCAAAAATAAGGGTGGGCGACCACACCTTGCCCTGGGCTGCCCGGATACACATGCCTCTGGCACTTTACTGAAATTTTAGCTGCCTTTCAGGATCTCCCTGCCAAAGACAGACCCAGTACCATCTCTGAATCTCTTTGTCCCTCTCCTCAATGTGCCCACGTTGATTTAACCTCCTTTTTCTACTTTTCACTATTAATTTGTCTTAGAAAATGCAGGTGATTGAACTTGGCTTGCTGGGGGCACAGGCCATACTTAGGGCTGGTAACAGTTCCTGACCCGTAAGTAACATGAAAAGAAGAGGCTTGATTGAGGTGACAGACACGACTTGAGCACTTTCCCGGCTGGAGATGTAGTTTAGCCAAGAAAATGCTCAACTAGCATGGAGGATAGCCTGGGCGTACCCCAGTTCTGCTGAGAGCCAGTGTGGTGACTGGGCTCTTATCTCAACTCTGAATGCAGACACAAGAGGATCAGAAGCTCAAAGTCTTCTTTCACTATATATCAAGTTAGAGAACACCCTGGGCTACATAGATCCTTGGCTCAAAAAGAAATTATTTCATTGTACTCTTAGAATGGGTGAATTTTATAATTACATATAGTCATATAAACATATGCATATGTGTGTGTGTGTGTGTGTGTGTGTAGCTGGTATAGGAAACACATTCTTTGTTTGCTTGTTTGTTTGTTTTTTTTGAGACAGGATTTCTCTGTGTAGCCTTGGCTGTCCTGGATTCACTTTGTAGACCAGGCTGGCCTCAAACTCACAGAGATCTGCCTGTCTCTGACTCCCAGAATGCTAGGATTACAGGCGTGTGCCACCACACACAGCTAAGAAACACGTTCTTAAGTTGCTTAGAAACAGGCATTTAATGACATCTATCACCCTTTTAGCCAACCCCCACTTCCTGTTTAAGCTTCACTTTCTGAAGCTAGATTTCCTGTCTGGGACCAGACTCTACACTATTACTCACACTCGCTGCTGGTTTTTAAAGTTCATTGCTTCCTAAGTTAGTGTAATATGTTTTGATGGGAAATTATCTTATTGGTGACTTCCTCTCCTATATGCTTTGTTATTTTCAGCTCCTCCAGTTTTCAAGAGACTTCAAAATATGCAGCTCTAATTAGTGACATAATTGTGTTATAATGAGAATCAGGTTTAATTTTTCAAAAACTCTCTCTCTCCAAGCTTGGGTTTGGTGGAGGTTTGCTGAATACTTAGATCAGAGCTTAAATCTGAAGCTGTGTGTGCTGCCAGCCGATGTCACTTCAGTTGTAATAAGCAGCTAGTCTCTGTTTTTTTGTTCTTAGCAGATGTCAGCTTTCTTTTTCAGCATATGAGTAGCTTTAGAAGATCACAGATGATAAATATGAAACAGTTCTTTCCCATGAACAGTTAGAATGGGTTCATTTGGTAAACAGAACTCTCCTTGCCAGGAATCATTGTACTCTAATAGACAAGTGTGATTACTCACATAGTCCATTTCCTGACTTGACAAGCATAGGGATTAAGTAAGAACGCTGCAGGAATCATTTCATTTTAAAGCCACACACACTTCAAGAAGTTTCTGTTTCAAAAGAATCTAATATTGAGGACAATTTCACCCTTAGTACTCATGGACTCTTTACCCAGGGGTTTTGTTGATGCTTGATTTAAATAAAAATTGCATCTTCATTTGTGTGAGAGAAGCTCAAATCCATGCAGAGATTGTAATAAACCCTGTTTATGAATGGCTTTGTCTCGGTTCTTGGAGGAAAGCTCCTTCTTTTACAGCCCCTACACCTCTGCCACACTCTGCTAAACCCTCCGACTGTCTTGATTGCACTTATCACTCTGCCTGAATCTACTTCCTTCATGCCTTGCTTAAAATCTGTGATGCTCAGCAACACGTCATCCATACAGTTCATAGCACATTAAGGATTATTGTTTGCACCTTGCGGTGCCAATTCTCACAATTAGCATAACCCATAATAACGCTGGAGATTTAAATAATACAGGGATGAGGAGGTGGCTTTGCCATATAAACACAAGGACCTGAGTTCTATCCCCAGAATTCACTTTTCAAAAGTCAGACTTGGTGGCAAGCCTTTGTAACCCCAGCTGAGGAGGCAAAGATAAGCAGAGCCCTGAGGCTGGCCTAGCACTCTTAGAAAATGGAAGCAAGGTGGGTGGCCCCTGAGTGACAGCCAAGGTCATCCTCTGGCCTCCACACACAAGTGTACATGCATTCACACAAAGGAAGTGGTAGAGCTGGGCACAGTGGGCATTCCAGCACCCTGGAACTGAGGGAAAGAAGGAAGAAAAGAAGGAAGGAAGGAAGGAAGGAAGGAAGGAAGGAAGGAAGGAAGGAAGGAAGGAAGGAAGGAAGATGCTGTTTTCTAAAGTAATGTAATAAACAGAATGACTGTCTTTAACGTCTTTTTTTTTTTCAAAATTATGAAAAATGAGACACTTAGGATTTGACATAAGGTAAGCGAATTTAAAAAAAAAAAAAAAGGAGGAAAGGGCCATGACTGCTCCTAGGTTTGGTGGGGGAGAAAGTTTATTACAG